AAAAGCAAACACTATTTCCAACTTTTAAAATATTCTCTTTTAGCTGGGTGCCAATGGCTCATACCTGTAATCCTAGCTACTCAAGAGGCTGAAATCTGAGGATCATGGTCCAGAACCAGCCCAGGCAGGAAAGTCTGTAAGACTCTAATCTCCAATTAACCACTAGAAAATTGGAAGTGGCATTGTGGCTCAAGTGGTATAACTGTAGCCTTGAGCTGAAGAGTTGACAGACAGCGCCCAGGCCCAGAGTTCAAGCTCCACTACCAACAACAACAACAACAACAAATAAATAAAAATATCTCTCTCTCTCTCTCATGTCAGGAGGATACTGGAGTTTGAAGACCCTGGCACTTGTAAAGCAGGGGCTGGCTCTATTATTTTAGTTATGCCTCCAGCTCAACTCACTTTTGAGACATAAACGTTTTGTACACATAAGACAATTCCTATCTCTTTTTAGTTTGGGGAAAAAGGAACAGGACTAGTGAACTCAGGACCTCACATATTTTTTTTTTACCCAGTATGACTTGAACCAGGATTCTCCTACCTCCATATCCCAATAGGCTGGAATTATAAACTACCATGCCCCACTTTTTTTTTTGAGAGAGTCTCATCAACTTTTTTTGTCCAGACTATCCTTGAACTGCGATTCTCTTAGCCTTGCCATCTGAATAGCCCATTTTTACTTCTTTGGAGAACTACTACATCTAGTCTTTGTTTCACAGTAACCCAGTATTTCTTCATGTTTTTCTTATATCCTACATACCAATAAAACACTAAAAATCTTGTCTCATAAAACTCAGTATGTTTTTTAAAAATCTAAACAGCCTCTTCTACAAGGCTGTTATATTTCCTGTATTTTTTCTACTACTCAACTGTTAGCAGTCGTTGCTTTTTTAAAAAAAAAGCATGAACTGCTTTGTAAAGTATAGGGCAAAGCATATAAATACCTATCCCTGCCCACCTCTTACCTGCCCCATTTCTAATAGGTTACTCCAAAGAAAACAACCGAGGCTTTAAACCCAGTTAATAAAAGAACTTAAAATATTATTATGCAGAATTTGCCTTTGATAAGTAAATAAAGGATGTCATGGACAAATGACTTAGGTGCTAAATAAAATATAACCATCAAAACAACTAAAGTTAATAATGTTGAGAAATGTGCTTTTGTATGGAAAACGTATGTTTACAAGCAATGTATAATGGCAACTCAGTAAAATTTTTTTCAGTTAATACTTTGGAAAAGATTTCAAATGGATGCCATTATCTCCAAGGGAAAAGCTAAACTGAGACACATTGCACACATAATAAGCAAGTATATAGAGATTTAATTAAGTGTGGGTTACTGTATTTTTGTTTTGTTTTGTTTTTTGTTGGCTGTGGGGCTTGAACTTTGGGCCTGGGTGCTCTCCCTGAGCTCTTCAGTTCAAGGCTAGAGCTATACCACTGGAGCCACAGTGCCACTTCTGGTTTTCTAATGGTTAATTGCAGATAATAAGAGTCTCACAGGCGTTCCTGCTGGTTTTGAACAGTGATCCTCAGATCTCAGCCTCCTGAATAGCTAGGATTATAGATGTGAGCCACCGGCAACCGGCTGGGTTACTGTAGACACAGTAAAATTTCATAGCATTAGGTCAAAACTGATTGATCTTTTTGGTTTGCAGAAAACATTATATTGATGTAAAAATGCAGGGGAACAGTTGTTACATTATATTAATACTTTTAAAGCCTCCTTTACTAATTTACTGGAGCTCTGGAAAGGCCATGATTCATTTGAAATTCTATGTAAACTTTCCACATACAGGCAGCAAAGAATTTATTGCTGTTAAGGAGATTTTTCAAAGTAGCCCAAATCCAAAAACCTGTAGGAGATTTGTGGCTCTAGTCAATTTATAAGCACAGAAAATTTATATAATAGAAGAATGAATTAAGCAGCAATCTATGCAATCAGCAAATATTGGTTTATAAATTATAAGCAATGTATGTTACAAGCAAAATATCACAATGTGTAAATGGAATGCACTTAAATGTTCTTAGAGGACAAAGAAGATAATTTAGTAATTGGTTCCTTCAGTCTGTTAGTAACACAAAAAGTTCTATGGTACAGCATGAGAAGTATCACAATATGCTAGCAGAAATACATGATGGGTCCATCAAAATCTTAAGAATTTAACTCTGATTTAGTATCTTAGATTTCTGACTGAAGATTGTTTGCTAGAAAGAATAGATGCTGAACAAACAGTATAGGGAAAGATAACTGAATATCAAAAACACTTGCTAAACAAAAATGTAGAAAAGAAATTATACTAGAAATCAAAGAAATTGGTCATTACAAATTTAGTGGTTTGGCTGCTTTAGGTTACAAACAACAACTAACAAAAACCTAGTCTAAAGAGCTCTCAAACTAATTTTATATTTTTATTCATTACAATAACATTTAGAGGCCTGGTGCAGGTGACTCATACCTCTAATCTTAGAGGCTCAGGAGGCTTAGAGCTGAGGATCACAGTTTAAAGCCAGTCCAAGCAGGAAAATATGGGAGACTCTTTTTTTTTTCCCCTTCGGTCATGGGGGCCGACTCTGGGCCTGGGCGCTGTCCCTCAGCTCTTCAGCTCAAGGCTAATGCTCTACCACTTGAGCCGCAGCATCACTTCCGGCTTTTTTCTGCTTACTTAGTGCTGAGGAATCAAACCAGGGCCTCATGCATGTGACAGAAGCAAACACTCTACCACTGAGCTAACTTCCCAGCCCTGGGAGAACTCATCTCCAATTAAAAACCAAAAAGCCACAAGTGGAGTTGAGGCTCAAGTGGCAGAGTGCTAATCCTGAGCACACATGCATGCATGTGCGTGCACACACATACAAACACAAACTAGTGACAGAAACTAAGTCCTGAGGAGTTGAAACCCCAGGACTAGCACAAAAAAAACAAAACAAACAACGTTTAGAGGTTGTTCCCTTTAGTTTGTGGTGGCAAACTTTTATAGCAGACCTCATGTAAGTAACAGATATGACTAAATGTGTTCTGGACAGTAACCTGACATTAAGGACCATGCTGCTTCCTCCAAAGCTACAAAATTCCACGAATATAGAATTTCAATTTAGCTAAATATCAGTTTAATTAATTTAGCAAATTCTAGTACCTCACCTCCAGACATGGTAGTGGGAATGGTAATAATAATAATATTTTCTAGGTTAATATAAAGATTAAATGTGGTAATAAATAAAGTGCTGAGCCTAATGACTGGGAAAAAAGGTTTCAGTAATAGCTTTTATGAGTGACAACAGTTTCTCAATATTGAAAATGGAGAATACTGAGGAGCTAAGAATTCACTGATTTCTTTCTTTAAATTATACCATAAACAACCAACAGTCAAATTAAAAGATTAGGAACAATTTTTTGATCAACATTTCTTACAAATACTGTTTTAGCTTTATTCAAACTGTTATTTGGTTATTTACAAAAGATCTTAGCACAAGACAAAAACATCTTATCTTCCTAGTTCCTGTTATTGTAAAAACACAGGATTGCAGTGTTTATTAAAAACATTGAAAGAAAAAAGAAATTTTTCTTCTACCTTCCTTCTAATTTTACTCTCCACTAGTAAAATAGGTGAGTCCCTCTGAATCTTTTCTTTCTGATAAGCATGATAGATAAATGCACTTTACTAACATGGCTGCAATAACATAGATGAAAAGATTGTTTTGAGCCATGTGCCAGTGTCACATGACTATAATCCATGCTACTGAAGAGGCTGAAATCTGAGGATTGTGTTTCAAAGCCAGCCCAGGCAAGAAAGTCTTGAGACTCTTATCTCTAATAAACTACCAAAAAGCTGAAGTAGAGTCATAGCTCAAGTGGCAGAGTGCTAGCCTTAAGTAAAAAGCAGCTCAGGGACAGTGGCCTAGGCACTGAGTTCAAATTTAGATATGAGAATAGTACAGAAATTAAGTCATAATAGTGTTAGTAATCTTAAAGGTTCAATATGATACAAAAGATGATTACCACAATGGTCTCTGCTGCAAACTGTAAAAAAATTATATAGATCATAAAGAACTCTGATTACACTGATCTTTTCAACCAAATGTGTATATAACATTTGGCAAAACCACCTTTGATCAAAAGAAAGTACAAAGATAAAATAACTTGTGTATTCAACTGGTTTTAATTACCAGAGGAGTTAAGGTTCAACATAACAACTGAAATTAAGCTGTCCAAAAATGGAATGGCTGCAGCCCAAAGTAGCAATCTAAAGTTGGAAATGCTCAAGAAAATATCAGAAAACCATCTGTCAGGAATATAACTGAAAAGCTTTTTCATCAGAGATGATGAGTCTGCATGGCCACGAAGAAGATTTTTAATTTTATAAATTTATGAAAAATGGGAGAAACTATGGATAAGGCCCAAATAGTAGTTGATACTGTTACTTTGACCAAACTGAAACTTTAATTAATTCATGTAGTAGTTTAAATATAGATACTTGAGTTTTTAAAAGCTGTGTTTGTGTGTGGAAGGTAGGGGTCCTTTAAAACCTCAAATATTACATAGAGGTATTCATTCTCACATATAGTAAATACTGATAAAACTGAATAAATACAAACATCTATCATATGCTTCAGATTATTAGCAGAGTACATGATAAGCAAAACTATACATGCCTTCTGCTTTTATTCAGCTTACATATACTTTAATGAGTTAATATTCTAATTTTGTTTTTAAGTATTTTAAATAATAATTTCCTTCCTGCATAAGGTATGTATATTTCATCTCCCCTCCCCCAGAACATACAACAGATGAAAAACTCAAATTCTCAATGGAGCCTAACTGACTAGTAATTCTTTTACTTATTCTACAGCTGAATTTGCTAACTGACCTTAGATCACTTTCTCCATTTTTTTTGTGCATATGCTCAAGCATGTGTATGTGTGTTGTGTTGGTGATATGTTATTAAAACAGTACCAAGATTATTTTCAATTAAAAAATTCTATTTAACCATTCTCACCTTGATTATTTCCACCAACTGATCCACACCACTATCTCCTGGAAATATTGGTTGTCCTAGCAACAGCTCGGCCAATACACAGCCCGCAGACCATACATCTGATGAGAAAAGAAAAAAAAAGTTTATTAAAACACTGTAGCATGAACTGAAATACATAAACATTTTCCAGTTTACTCACAGATAAAAATAGCACTACGCAAAATCCAAAATAGGAGGAAAAATACTGTAATTTGTAAGTTACAAAAATAATGAACTCTCCTTTCAGTACTAGGAATTGAGCCTAGGCCCCTGTGATTGCTAAGCAAATTATCTACCACTTGAGCAATACCCCTAGCCCTCAGATAATTGACTTTTCAATGAAAATAGGAATCTCAAAATGTAATGTAAATATCTTGTCTACTGATAAATTTAAAAAACAATTTAACAAAATGTCCTGGTTTATCCAAAATATTCTGGGTTTTGTTTTTGTTTTTGCTGGTCTTGGGACTTGAACTTGGGGCCTGGGTACTGTCCCTGAGCCTTTTTGTACTTATGGCTAGCAATCTACCACTTGAGCCACTTTTAGCTTTTCTGGGTAGTTTATTGGAAATGAGTCTCATGGACTTCTCTGATCAGGCTGGTTTTTAAACCTTGATCCTCAGGGCTGGGAATGTGGCTTAGTGGTAGAGTGCTTGCCTCACATGCATGAAGCCTTGGGCTCAATTCCTCAGTGCTACATACACAGAAAAAGCCAGAGGTGGCGCTGGAGCTCAAGTGGTAGAGTGCTAACCTTGAGCAAAAGAAGCTCAGGGAAACCATAGGACCTATGTTTTTTGGGGGGCCTGGCTTACTCTTTCCATTTCCTAACAAATGGGGCAATGTCATTCTTTCTGATGGAGGCATAGAATTCCATTGTGTATATATACTACATTTTCTTGATCCATTCAGCTACTGAGGGGCATCTAGGTTGGTTCCATATCTTAGCTATGGTAAATAATGCTGCAATAAACAGTTGTGCTAGTGTATGTCTGATACAAGCAGAAAAGGCCAGATAAGATGATGTTAGGCAAAATGAACTCCAAGATAAGGACATAAGTAGTTTTATCTTTCTTGCTATTTTCTAGTGTATTTATAAGGTGATTTTTTTTTGTTGCTTTATATGTCCCTCCCACACTGTATAACCCCTGTTTTCACTGAATTTGATGGTATAATTTGGGGAGGGGAAGGAAAAAAACCAAATTGTTTAAATAAGGATACAGGTGGACCCATTGCAACAATGAGATGTACAAGATGCTAAGTCAAAAAATGAACTTTACAACTTTGGTGTGGGGGAGGTGCAGTTGTGGAGATGGGAGGGCAGGGATGGTAGGGGAAAAACAAAGGAGGAGGCAACAATGCTTGATAAGAAATGTACTCATTACCTTGCTCATGTAACCCTCCTCTGTACAGTATTCTCACAATAAAAAACTTACTTAAAAAAAGAAGAAGAAGAAGCAGCAGCTCAGGGATAGTACCCAGACTCTGATTTTCAAGCCCCAGGGCTGGCAAACAAAACAAAACTCCACAAAACCTTGATCCTCAGAACTCAACTTCCTGAGTAACTAAGATTATAAGTGTGACCACAGCAAGAATACTCCAGATTTTATCTACTGTCCGGAGGTAACCATTAATAGCATTTTCTTTTTCTCTCAAATGTACCTAAAGATAAGTTGTCAGTCACTCTGGTTAAAGCCCACTATTAAGACTTCTTGCTAGGAAAAACTGCTGTTTAGTTCCCAGGTTTCTGAGATTTCTGGATTTTGTATGGATGTACACTAAAGTGTTTTAGAGGAATGAACATAAATCATTGCTAGTCAGGAAGAAATAACACTGAATGTCATGGAGACAACAATAATTAGGAATCTGATGTGGTAAGGAACACTATCACTACTTAAGAGGAACTGGAAATCTCTTTTCCAGTGACTACTTATTTTCTTGCCTTTTTTTCTTCTCTGTGTGTTCTTTTCTTATCTACATAGTGCAGGTAAGTGGAACTCAGGACCTTGTACATGTGAAGCAAACTACTATTGATAAAGCCTGAACCCTAATCCTATTTTATTTAATGAGATTTCCTATCTTACTATACCCTGGACAGTCATGAACTCCTGGGCTCAAGGGATCTGTGATTACTTTCTACTCACCTAGAAAGTGCCATAGAACTCATTTAATAAATTCAAGTTGATTTTGTCCAGTTCCAAGTAATGATAACTGAGACATCTATTTTGTAACATACACTGAGAGTTCTACTTGGATATAAATAAATTCAAGTTGATTTTGTCCAGTTCCAAGTAATGATAACTGAGACATCTATTTTGTAACATACACTGAGAGTTCTACTTGGATATATTAGGAATTTGATAACTGAAGCAAATATAAAATTTTGCTAGGCACATTTTACTTCATGTAAAACCAACACTATACTTTCATAGTCAAGTGCAAATATATGATTTTATTCTTTTGGCCATATTGGTGGTGCCACACACTATTACTGACCTATATCCCAGACTCCTTGATATTTTGATCCAAGTTTTAAAACATCTCCTTACCCAGCTAATTAGATGAGAAATATGCACCCATTCCTTTCTTTTGTAAAACAGAATATTTTGTCTCAGAAGAAAGGCAAGTTGCAGGTAAATAACTATGCCTCATAAAAAGCAATGAGAAATGTTTTCTTAGGATTCAGTTACAAATGTACAAGATAATTAAGGAGTGAAACATCAAGGAATACTATTACCTAATAGCTATCCAAAGATTCACTAAGTGAATTTAAGTGCCTTCAATTACTACAAACAAGGTATTTGCTATTCACTTTTTAAGAAGTAACAAGATCTCTTCTATTCTTACTTCATAAGACAAAATGATCAACCTCTTCAAACAGAAGAAAACTTTAACTAACACAAAGGTTTGGCTCACTAGATTTAGTTGAGAGTTAAGCTAAAATAGTATTTTGTTTCATAGTTAAGTCTTAGTCATGATCAAAAGGCATTTTGAGACCATTTAGCCAAAGAAATTTGACAGATAAGAAAATAAAGGCATAATAAAGTCGAATGACTTGTCAAAGGTAAAGCTACTGGGCAGCATGGCTAGCACTAGCTCTGGAACCCACTCTTAAGTTCCAATCAAGCAGTCTTTGAAAACTTATACACACTCTTTCGTTGTCCTAATGAAGTCTTTTGTTCTCATTCTGCTCAGTTAAGACCATCTTCTAATAAAAGTGAGAGTTTCAGTTTTGGTAGATACAATCATAACAGTATCTAGTCAGAATTAGTGACTCTTTTATTTCCAATATTACTATTGAAACATCTCAAAATCTACTTAGAAATCAGTATACTTCCAAATCTCAATATCTATCCATCTATGTACTCATCCATCTAACCCCACTTCTGTCCCTAAGTATGTATACAAATCTTACAAAGCCGCAAGTTTCCTAAATCTCAAAAGAAAAACCAAATCTAGACAAAAGGCTACAGTTCATATAAACATTCCTTAAAGTAGCAGATGATATACTATGACTGTTTTAGAAGAACAAAACTGTCTGTATTTTAGGTGACTAGGACAAAAACCCGACCCAGGATCTTGTAACACCGATAACCAAAATCATGCATTTGAGTGAAATATCAATCAACTAGAAAATTTACTGATATCTGCAAAGACAAAGAGTTAAAATTTGCTTGAAGACAGTCAAGTTAATAAGTACTACAAAAAGAATACTTACATTTCTTTAGTGTTTCCTTATATTTCCATAGTACTTTCACTAACATTTTATTTACTGCCTATAGCCACTGGAACAGAACTATTAACAAGTAACAATCTAGTTTATAGTTCCGCAGAGACAAACCTGAAAGTCAAACCCAGATGGATTCCAGACAAAAGTCTCTGTAGCATTCATCATCAATCAACATAATCCACAGAATATAGTCGCAATGAGGTTTACCTAACACACCTATAAAAAGATCACACTTTCCTCCATGTAGCAGGTCTCAAAATGTAGTCCAAGAGCCCTAAGTATTCTGGACATGTCCAGAAGTCTTAGAAGGCAAACCTACTTTGATAAAAAGATGATTTTTTATTTAGTGGTCTGATACTTGCACTGTTAGGAGAAAAGAAATGGGGACATAAATCTCTCGGCACAACTGAAAATACACATTAGCTTATTGCTCTTTTACGTGAGTATTCATATCAGAAAAGGTTTAATTGTATTAGAAAGGTAAAAATTGTCACAAGTTCTATTTATGACCCCCAAATTATTCATGGGGCTTGAACTCAAGGCCTGGGAGCTGTCCCTGCCTGAGCTTTATTTTGCTCAAGGCTAGTGCTCTATCACTTGAGCTACTGCTCCACTTTTGCCTTTCTGATGGTTAATTGGAGATGAGAGTCTCACAGACTTTCCTGCCCAGATTGGCTTCAAACTAGGATCCTCAGATCTCAAGTCTCCTGAGTAGCTAGGATTACAACTGTGAACTACCAGTGCCCAACTCTGTTTCTATATTTCTTACTAAAAAGTTCTCTATAGAAATAATACATAAGTAAAATAATTTTTGTCTCTATCTGCACACCTAACCTAAGCTTTCTCCTTGTTTTTTAGTATCCTATTTATAGTCAGCTAATCATGGACTCTATTTTTTCCAAGCCACTGCATTAAAATGTGAGGAAAAAGGTCAAAAAAGAATTAACTAATTTTCCTTATTCTTATTCTTTCTAAACATCTCAGATGAAGATTTCTAAAGAATCAGTGAGTTTAGCTGAAACCCACTGATGACTTAAGAGGACTTGAAATTAAATAACCAATTCAGACAGCAAGTAGGAATTCAGAAATATTGTCTTCCTATCAAATTTCATTACTAGTATAAGGAAATAACATTAAATATTTTAATAGCAATTAAGCTCAAAAATGAGTTTTTCAGAAAATTCTTTTAAAGAATTCAATTAAACCACTTAAGATGTATTTGAAACCTTTAAGGTATACAAGTGTTATCTGACCATAACAGACTAGTTTTACAATTCCATTAAAATTAATAAACAATCCTCTAAAAATGGAATCACAAGAACATCTTAAACCAAAAAGGTGAAAAAAATTAATTCTACACATTTTTTTATCTTTAAGAACATTTCTATTATAGGACACTATTCTTTACACAGCAATAAAAACAATAAATAACAAAACTTATTATGTGACTAATATTACAAGCATTCTAGTCAGTGTGGATACTTACCTATACTAGAGGTATAATCAGTGGCTCCAAAGATCAACTCTGGTGCCCTATAGTACCGAGAACAGATATATGAAACATTGGGTTCTCCTCGGACCAGCTGCTTTGCACTAATAGAGAGAAAAAAAAAGTAGAGCCTTTCAGTTAATATACTGAAGGAACCTATACTGTTATCACAACACCAAATGTTTATGGAGACTTCATATCATTCCAGTTATACAATATAAAAAAGAAACTATGAGCTGTAACTCTCTCCAAAAAAAGAAATATATAATCTTATAATATCACTCTGGAGAAAAAAAAATAGAACAGTAATTTTGTGTGTGTGTTTGTGTGCACACAAGCACACATGCAGGTGTGCCAGTCTTGGGGCTTCAAAATTCAGGGCCTGGCTACTATCCCTAAGATTCTGTGCTCAGGCTAGTACTCTACCACTTAGGCCACAGCTCCACTTCTGACATTTTGGTAGTTTACTGGAGATAAGAGTCCCACAGACTTTCTTGCCTGGGCTGGATTTGAACCATGATCCTCAAATCTCAACCTCCAGAATAGCTAGGATTACAGGCATGGGCCAGTGGCCACTGGCCTTAGAACAGTAATTTTAAATAAAGTATTTGTCAATTGTCACCACCTAAGGGAAAAAGAGATTAAAAGTTACAGGACGACAAATGATTATTTTCTTCTGATATACTATTTTTTAAAATTCAACTTCTAAAACATAGAGATGGAAGACTAGAAAAATGGTATCTCTCTCTACCAAAAAGCATGACAATAGATCAGAATATATCCAATCCTAACTAACCAGTTTTTAGGTTACTTGAAAATTAAAACAGCTTTCAGCAAAATTGCAGAGTTTTGGGTTGGTGATAAGGCATTCTACCACTAAGTAATGGATTCAAACCTCAGCTCAAAAAGAAAAAGAAGTCCTTCCCCCCCAAACTGGGATTTGAATCTAGGGCTTTGGGCTTGTTTGGCTAATGCTTTAACATTTGAGCCATGACTCTAGTCTGGATTTTTTGCTGGTTAGTTGGAGTATCATGGAATTCTCTTCCAGAGCTGGCTTTGTATTGCCCTTCAACTCCCTGAAAAGCTAGGATTAGCTAGGTGTCCAGCTAAAAGTATATATTTTAATTAATTCAATATATAATAAAAAAGTTGCTATAAGACAGTAATAAATATTGAAAGCTTTGCAGCCTCTATACTGTTTTATGCTACTTGATGGACCCATCTTCTTTTTCTTACAGGTAAGGTAGGAGTATATATACATAATATAAATTCAGACAATAATAAAATACAATAAAAATTAAGTTTCCCAAGTATACTATATTCCCTAAATTTCTCCTACCAGAAGCAATCAATGTTTTGGAATTATTGTATATTCTCTCAGAAACGAACCATTTATAAACATATACACAGACAACATATTCATACCATCACAACTCATGTTTCCTTTTTTCATATAGTAACTTTTTAATTTAATATCCACAAGATTTTGTAATCTTATAGCTTTTGATCAGGTTTATACAATTACATTTTTGAAATATTGGATAGAAGATCAACTAGCTTACCTTCCAAAGTCACAGAGTTTTAAGACAGCTGTATCAGGATCCAACAAGAGGTTTTGTGGTTTAATATCCCGATGGCAGATTCCAAAGGAATGGATATAGGCTAAACTTCTGAACAGCTGATACATATACAACTGGTACATATAAAAAAAAACTTATTATTTCTATTTCAAACAAATCAGAATAATTAAACAGCAAATAGACTAACATTCTTAGAATGCATTTGTCCCTATTTGTTTAATTCTTACAGTGATTCTATGAGCACACTTTTATTCTCATTGTATAGATGAGAGGAAATTAAGGCTGAATGAACAGGTTGAACATAGTTCTAAGTTATCAAGTATAATGTGAGCCCAGTGTTTTCTCTTTTTGAGACGACATGGTTAAGACAAATAATAACTGTTTTATTATTTCAAAGGAAAAATTGCATCCAGCTCTTTTATATATTCAAATCTTGTCCTCAACCAAGCTTTTTTTCCATTCAAACAAAATAAAACGTTTAAGCCTGCTATAGTGGTACACGCCTGTCATCCCAATTACTTGGGAGGCTAATGTAGGAAGATGGCTTGAGCCCAAAAGTTCAGGGCCAACTAGGATGATATCTAGAAATTCTGCCTTGTAAAAACAAACAGTGTTGGTGGCTTCACATCTGTAAGCCAAGCTACTCAAGAGAATGAGCTCTGAGAATCACAGTTCGAAACCAAGCCCAAGCAAGAAAGTGTGTGAAGACTCTTATTTCAACAATTAAGGACCCAAAAAGCCCGAAGTAGAACTTGTGGCTCAAGTGTAAAGCACTAGCCTTGAGCAAAAAAAGTTAAGGGACAGTGCCCAGACCCTGAGTTCAAGCCTCAGGACTTGCAAAACAAACAAACATCAAGTTCCTAACAATGATTTGATAATCATCTATATTAGAGAAGCATTATAAGACCCATTAAACTCTGAAAGGTGCTCACTAGAAAAGGAAAGGTGCTCAAAACCTTTTTAAGGTATTAATTATTATCAATCACAAAACAAGCAGTACTATAAAACAAGATGCAGAAAGGTTCAGACAATATGGTAACAGACCATTGTCAATGTATGACAAATAAGTCATGTTTGTTACCAGAGTAGCAACTGCATTTCCTTATAATTGATTTTCACTTTTTTTTCTAGGAATATTGAGTATGTTCTGCACTATCTCTTAACATTTTTGATCAATGCTAGTGAAGCCACTCACACCCCGTTATTTGTTCGTTTGTTGCTGAAAAATAGAATTTCTAGGTGTCACACTGGTTGGTCCTGAACTTCTAGGCTCAATCCATGTTCCTGGGTGTTAGTGGAGGGAGTCACTAGGTGCCCAGATAATTTAAAAAAAAATTAAACAAAATCTGTAACACATAGAACTTTGATAGTTCATCCCTAACAGGATCTAATAAGGAATTAAAGGAGCTGTACAAGAATCTTAAATGAGTCTGTTGGAGGTCATAGTATTGGGACTGTTTTGAAGATGTAAAACATCTATTTTTCCCCAAAAATATATACCATAAGTTCTATAAAGAAAAACTTCCCCTATTTGTATCCTAAGATATAGTTAGAATAAAAAGACAAGACATGGGTTGGGAAGGTGGCTCAGTGGTAGAGCACTTGCCTTGCATGCATGAGGCCCTGGGTTCGATTCCTCAGAACCACATAAGCAAAAAGAAAAAAGCCAGAAGTGGCGCTGAGGCTCAAGTGGTAGAACACTAGCCTTGAGCTGAAGAGCTGAGGGACAGCGCCCAGGCCCAGAGTTCAGGCTCGGTGACCGGACCCAAAAAAAAAAAAAAAAGGACAGGACATATGTATTTGATTCCCACCTTTCACTTATCAAAACTTTTAATTAGTTAGCTCCATAGAATACTTCATAGGTTAAGTGGCCTGGAAAGTAATTTCTTATTTGTATGTTTTAAGTGTTTGGCATGATTCTTGATATCATTTGATAGTTTTCTTGCTTTTTGGCCTGACAATATTCTCAGGTTCTCTTATACGATAGAAATCCAATCAATTAAACAGAGACCTAACTTGTTTCATTTCTTTTTGTGCTGCTCCTGGGACTTGAACTCATGTCCTGGGTGCTGTCCCTGAGCTTTTATGCTCAAGGCTAGTGCTTACCACTTGAGCCACACACAGCCCCACTTCCAGCTTTTTGGTGATTAATTAAACATAAAGAGTCTCATGAACTTTCCTGCACAGGCTGGTTCAAACTATAATCCTCAGATCTCAGCTTCCTAAATTGCTAGGATTACAGGTGTGAGCCACCAGCATCCAGCATCTCCTGGTTTCAATAACCACAACATGTGAGAAGGTAAGAACCTACAGATTTAAAGAAATATTAAAGGTACATAATAGATAGGCCTTAACTGGATACCAATTCAAATATATAATTTTTGAATCAACAGTTTGAACACAGTTCTAAGTTATCAAGTATAATGAGGCTAGTGTTTTGTGAAACAAAACATAAAATTGTGAAACATGGGAAATATAAATGGGATATTTACCGGGCACTCATGGCTCACACCTGTAATCCTATCTACTCAGGAGAGGAAATCTGAACATCTCAATTTGAAGCCCAGGCAGGAAAGTCCATGATACTCTTATCTCCAATTAACCACACACACACACAAAAAAAAAATCTGAAAGGGAGCTATGGCTAAAATGATAGAGCACCAGCCTTGAGCAAAGAAGCTGAGGGACAGTTCTCAGAACCTAAGTTCAAGCCCCACTACTTAATACATACACAGACAATTTATTTAATGGTATTGATAAAGCACTATCTTATAAAGAATGAAAATAGTATTGTATCTTTGTTTCTATTTTTATAAAGAAATACTGGAGCATTTACATAAGAAAATAATAATAAATAAGGGGAATATAAAATAATGGGAATAGAGTTGAAGGTGGTACAGATAAGATGAAATTGGTTATGAAGTAATACTGTTAAAGCTGTGATGGGTATATATGGGGGTTAATTATTGTTTGCTCTAGTTTTATATATCCTTGAAATCTTCAGTTGAAACAAGTGCTTAAAGAAAAGATGTTTAAATGAGCAAAATTTCTGCAGGTAAAAATGAACAGAAAGTCATTTGGCATATCTTAGTTTAAGTAATGTGGAAAGAGGTACATAGATCAACCCTGATCTATGAAGCAATATATATAAACATGGAGAGTAGATTCATCAGAACTTATTCTTTTTTTTCAAAGAGATCTGACAATTAAAAAGTACCTGAGGGCTAGGAAGGCGGCTCAGTGGTAGAGTGCTTGCCTTGCATGCATGAGGCCCTGGGTTCGATTCCTCAGCACCACATAAGCAAAAAGAAAAAAGCCGGAAGTGGCGCTGTGGCTCAAGTGGTAGAGTGCTAGCCTTGAGCTGAAGAGCTGAGGGACAGCACCCAGGCCCAGAGTTCAGGCCCCACGACCGGACCCCCCCACCAAAAAAAGTACCAGACATTCCTAGCTTCTGAACCACTTTTATAATGTTTTACCTTATTTACTGTTAACTTATGTAGTTGTCTTTTTTGCCTACAGAAGGAATAATGAAACCCGTTGCTAAATATTAGATTACTATGTAATAGTTTGTACTTAGTTGCTGAATTAAAGATCTGAAACAAAAACTAGTCTTAATACTATGCACACCTGGCTGAATGTCCTTAATATGCCATTTCTGGTCATGTTAAGGCCTTCTATGACTTCTACTTACAGCCCCCACAATGTTTTCTCTTATCTTAGACTCATTTTGTACCCCAACAAAGCTATATCATGGGGAGGAAAGAAATAGTTTTACAAATATGGAAGACAATGAATGACTTATGTAAAAGTACCAACAGCATGTTGGGCTTCAGAACTGGATCTTTAGGAACCAAATCTAGTGTTTCTTGTGATTCATATATCTATCAACATTCTGCACTGTCAGAAAGGTACAAATTATCATTACTCTAAACTAAGATCTTCAAAGACTGATTACCTTAGATTTAGGGAGGTCAAAAAGATACACTATGTGTTAGTAAGAAAATAGGATTTGCGCTCTAAAATGAGAAGAAAACAAATCTATGAGAAAATTTGTATGTCTTTTAATTCCTACTACCATCAATTTAATTATAACCTAAAACAAATTTTGATAAACCTAAGTCAAATTATACTGAAATCAGTTTTTAATCTCCAGTTCAGTTCAAAAGGACTCCTGAACTCCTTGCACAAACTGAACTAGCTACCAAAAGTATTAAAAGAAATTCTATTATTAATGTTCCTCAAGTCTAAAACTGTTAATAATTAGCCAGGTAGCAGTAGCTACTACCTGTAACCCTAGCTACTTGAGAAGCTGAGGTTGAGAGAGCCGTAGAGTCAAGCCAGTCAGGGCAAAAAAGTTTGAAAGATGCAGTGGTATATACCGTCATTTTGCTGACAGGAAGCCTAAAGTAGGCACATAATGGCTCAGGCATGTGCCACAAGAAAGCAAGACCCTACATCAAACACTACCAGGACAAAAACAGGGCTGGAAGTGTGACTCAAGTGGTAGACCACCAGCCTAAGAAATGCAAAGCCCCAATTTCAAACCCCAGCACTTTTTTTGACCAGTTCTGGGGCTTGAACTTAGAGTCTGGGCACTGTCCCAGAGCTTCTTTGGCTCAAGGCTAGCACTCTACCACTTGAGCCACAGCACCACTTCTGGCTTTTTCTGTTTATGTGGAATCAAACCCTGGGCTTCATGCATACAAAGCAAGCGCTCTACCACTAAACCACATTCCCAGACCCAAACCCCAGTACTTCTAAATAAAAGAAAGAAAAAAAATGTAACAATGAAGAAAATTCAATTCTGAACATAAAACGCAAGAATATTACTGCTAGTTTTTAAAAGTATATGTCAATTATATTTAATGAAAATATTTCTTTCCCCTTCCCTCTGCCTCCCTCCAATTCTTCCCTAATGCCCTCCCCCACCCAGTTCTTTTCCTTCCCCCTTTTTATGCCTCACATATTTCTCTAGGGCTTTTAAATACAGGGTCTTGAGCTATAGGCAAGTGCTTCACCAGTTAAACCTCCAATGCTCTCCCACTTTTGAGAATATGGAGAAAAACTTGCTAAACATTTATACTTTTGATACAGTTGCAATAAATGTATCTATAAATGTCAATAAACACTGAACTTGTTTATACTTATAATTATATAATTCTATGTATGCAAGTTTATATCATTATGCTCTTGTTTTGGTCTGAGGCATAATAAAGACATTAGACATTAACACAAAATGACAATGGCTAAGTGCCATGGCTATCAGAATTAAAATCTGTAATTTCCATTAAAAAAAAATCAGTGTACTTTATCAGTCATAAAAGTTTAAAAAGTGAAGACTTCTTGGCTAGCTAGGGTTATACACACTTGTAATCCCAGATTGGGAGAACTGAAGATCAAGGCTACGCCAGGATAAAAGTTAGCAAAACTCCCATCTCAACAAATAAGTTGACAGTAGGATTGTGGTCCAAGATCTGCCTACGCTTTAAAAAAAAAAAAATCCTACAAGATCCAAACCAAAAATTAACTAAAGCAAAAAAAAAAATAGTGCTGGGGGCATAGCTCAAGCGGTAGAATATCTGTTCAGCAAGCACAACACCAAGTTCAAAGTCCACAACTAGCATCCCCACTGCATAAAAGTTAAAAAAACTTTTTAAAAATTTTGTTTTAAAATTGTACATGAATAAGGAACTCTACAAATTCTTTCTTTGCAATTTCCCCCCTTGTATTTAAAGCAGTAATTAATTAAAACATACCCAGTATTATCCCTGCCTGGCTCACAATAAAATAAGAAATTGTTACTTTTACATACCTTGACATAGATCACAGGGAGTGTCTGTTTGGCTCGACTATAGTGTCTAGCAACTCTGTATACTGTTTCCGGAACATAGTCCAGCACCAAGTTAAGGTAGACTTCATCTTTCTGAAAGAATTTATTATAAAACAAAAAAACAGATTAGAAGTTAGTTTAAGTGTTCAAATGGGAGTAAAATTATATTAAGTTGCTTATGAGTATATCACACATATAAGTTGTATATGAATGTATTTCATGCTTAGACTTGAACACTATTCTCAGAATACTTCATTCTATATAAGCAAATTTAAGAATTGGTCTCAAGGGCTGGGATGTAGCTCAGTGGCAAAGCACTTGCCTAGCAAGCGCAACGTCCTGGGTTCGATCCCCAGTACCAAAAAAGAAAAGACAAAAAAAAAAAAAAGAATTGGTCTCAAGCATTTCATATAAAGAGATAAGAATTATTCAACCCGTAGAAGTAGAATGCAAGGAATTGTGATTCTGAGGTGTTGGGTCACTTATATAGAAGTTGAAGCTAATTTTTTCCAAATGAAAACTATTACTCAGTGTATAAGGTCTCATAATTCTAATAAACCATTCAAGCATTGCTCAAAAATCCAGCTCTAAAATATCCTGAGATCCAGATAAACCTTCCCCTCTATAAAATAAAAATGCCAAGCTACATATGCTTGGTATACAGCAGTGGGATAGGCATAGGGTAAACATTCCCATTCTTCAAGGGAGGAATAGAATACCAAGGAAGGAATGGATGAGATCCTAACCCATGCACATAGCTATCTAAAAGCATTCTTAAAATCAGAATAAGCCTGGTGTTGTGGCTCAAAGCTATAATCCTAGCTATTTGGGGGGGGGGGGAGGTTAGGAAGTATAGAGGTTGGGGTGCTAAGGTTATAGGCTAGCCTAGACAAAAAGAAGACTCCAAGACCACTTTAACCAATGGCTCAGTGTAGTGGTGCGTGTCCCTTGTCCCGTCTGTGTGGGATGCACAATGGCTGGGCCCAATGGCAGACATCTGTCACCTTCGTCAACACAAGTAGGATCACAAACCAGAGAACCCAACCTACCTTGAAAATGACCAGTACAAAAGGGGCTGGAGGGCAGGCACTGATGGCTCAGGAGGCTGAGATCTGGGGATCATGGTTCAAAGCAAGCAAGCCCAGACAGGAAAAGTCTGTGAGATTATTAGCTCCAAAAAAAAAACAAAACAAAACCACTAGGAAAACAGAAAAGGAGCTGTGGCTCAGAATGGTAGAGAGCAAAAAGATCGCAGGGACAGCGGCCAGGCCCTAGCTCAAGCCCTATAACTGACCAAAAAAAAAACAAAAAAAAAGATGGGGGTAGCCTAGGGAAGTGACTCAAGTGATGAGTGCCTACCTGGCAAGCTCGTGGCCCCATGTTCAACCCTCTAGTTCCATCAAAACAAAACAAATTACAAAAGAGAATCCCCTCCCACCAAAAAAACAAACTTTAAAAACCTTCAAGGGCTCTAGTTAGGCTAAAATGACAGAACAAATCTGTTATATGAAATTTAACAAAGATAAATATAAAGCTTAATAATTAAAGTCAAAATATCAGTAGCAAGATCAAATGACAGTGATTCACTGGAAATTAAATGGTAGATGTAAAGAATGCAGTTGAAATGCCCCTGGCTATGGATTCCATTCCCTCTTAGTAGAGGTGGAGGTGGAATCAACTAGCTGAGAAACCAAAACATTGAATGAGCAGTTAAGATTCCTTACGAGCACACTTCCCTTATGAAGGTGCCTTGAGGGACAGAATGACCACTACACGTCTGACTTTTAACTAGTGGTACTAAACCAGAATGGTAAAAAAAAAAATCAAATGCGCAGCATCTAGCCATCATCTTCTCATATGAGGCATATAACTACTTCCCGCACACAGGAAATCATTGCAATTACTAAACTTCTTGGGGAGGGCCACAAGAAAGTCCCAAGTTTAAACTGTTAGACATTACACATCCTACCCTGTTGGATAATAAAAACCTATAGACTGCCTCATGTCTCAAGGTGAATCTGTGCTTGCTAAAAAAAAATCCTGTCTTGCTATCTTTGTGGTTCTTTTGCTATGACTAGAAAGACATCTTAATCTTAGATGTTGAACCAGAAGGCTCAAGGAACAATCAACTTGAGATACTAATGCAAAGAGTATTATATACTCTTTGCATTATATAGCTCAATAAAGGCAATTCTACTTCTTTGTACAGTTCTGACCACATAGAAGTACGGATGATCGCCTATTTAGGCAGCATGTTTTATGCATAATATTGGCAAAACAGACTAGTGTATCTGCTATAGGTTCAATGCTCTAATTTACCATGAGAAATATGATCTTAAGTAAACATTTTTATTAAATTTATAAATGCTTTAATGCAAATTAAGCAGTTACAGGAATAATCTATGAGGGGAGAGGACAATGTTCAATCCCCGGAAACATTTTATAGAAAGAAATCAGTAACATTTTCCTGCAAACATCATTCAGGAGGCGAGGGACACTGATATTTCAAGAACAAAGAAGAGGAGGGGAGGGGAAAAAGGAGAAAAATGAGGGAGGAGTAACAAGTTCAATAAGAAATGTACAAGTTGTCACGTCCAAACGAGCTTTACAACGTC